GTCTCAGGATTGTGAGCGCGCGGAGAAACGTTGTGCATGAGTGAGTGTGCGTGTGTATGTGGTTCATGCGCGAGCTTATGTGTTCATGTGTGTGTGCATGTATGTATGTGTGTATGCTTGTGTGTGTTACTGTGTGTGCGTGCGCGTGTGTATGTGTGTGTCTGTGTGAAAAAGATAGCGCGCGCGTGTTTCAGAGCAAGGGACGGCTTCTCAGATCTCACAAGGCATGCGATGGGTGTCGATGCATGTGAGGACGCTGACGCAGCTTCCAAGTTTCAGAGCCGGCGCCCACTATTTGCCAGGACCCGTCCAGGAATGTCCAGGGCGGTTCTGCTGGGGGCCCACCATATGGTTATCTGTCCGACCAGCCCAGATGTGGCTGCGACATCCTCGGCTCGAACCAGCCCCCATCGCATGGCAAAAGAGCGTCACACCAGTTTGGCAAGGCAGCCGCGGGGAAAGCCCAGGCGCACCTGGGTGGTCCAGGCTGAGCCGTGCCAGGTCGCGCACCGACTTGGTCTGGGTGGCGCTGAACAGCAGCGTCTGGCGCGCCCTGGGCAGGTTTGCGATGATTGCGTCCAGGGTGGCCGCGAAGCCCAGGTCAAGGATGCGGTCCGCCTCGTCAAGGACCAGCATCTTGGGGGATGAGGGGGGGGGGATGAGAGTACGTGAGCATGTGTGCGTTCCAGTGTGTGTGTGTGTGTGTGTGCGTGCATGCGTGCATGCTTGCCAGTGTGTGTGGTCGTTCACGAGTGTGTGTGTGTGTGTGTGTGTGTGTGTGGAGGGTAGCAGGGCTTGAGAGGTGAGACATCAGTCAAGCGCGGGGAGGCGTTGACCGCAGCACCCACCTGCAGCCCGCTCGCGTCAAAGCCGGGCGTCTCGTCCATGTGCTGCAGCAGGCGGCCTGCGGAGTGGGGGGAAGGCGGGGGGGCGCCGCAGTAATGTGTTGGTGAAAGGTGGTGGGCAACACCTGGGAGCTTCGCCGATTTGTGCACGATTTGTGCACAATGTGTGAACGCTGGCACATAGGGTTGCTAGGGTCCCCCTCGCCCTCAACGCACAAACTGAGCGGGGCCAGGCAGGGGGCGGGGGAGGACCCCTCAACAGCCGCAAATGATGGGTCCCTGCCGCGCGAGCGGCTCCCATCCCCTGGCCAATCACACACCCATGCACGCTCAAACGCACGCTCGCACACGCACGCACGCGCACGCGCA